TCTTTCTTTCTTTCTTTCTTTCTTTTTTTAAGGTTGCAGTTGTTCTGATGGATACCCAGGGGGCCTTTGATAGCCAGTCAACTGTGAAAGATTGTGCTACCATTTTTGCGCTAAGCACTATGACTAGTTCTGTTCAGGTAAGATCCCCTCTGTTCCTTTCCTTTGTCCAATTCCCCCTTTGCCCTTCTCCTCTTTCCCCCCTTTCCCGTTTCCTCCCTCTCTCCCTTCTGGAAATTCAGCCTAGGATTTTAAAAATGCAAGGCATTTCTACAGTGAGCTCTGTAGTCTGTCAATTATTTTCTGTTAATACAATTTTTGTGGTTGTATATGAGTGATTTTTTTTTTTAACTTAATTTGTTTTTTCAAGATAGGGTTAGTCCTGGCTGTACTCGAATTTACTCTGTAGACCAGGCTGGCCTTGAGTTCACAGACATCTGCCTGCTTCTGCCTCCTGAGTCCTGGGATTAAAGGCATGTACCACTACCACCTGTCTATGAGTGTTCTTTTTAGACTGTGTTTCAGTTTGCTTTTCTGTGGCTGTGATAAACTACTCTGATTAAAACCAACTTGGGGAAGAAAAGGTTTATTTGGCTTACATTTCCAGGTCACGGTCCTTTATGGAGGGAAATCAGGGCGGGAACTCAAGGTAGGAATTTGGAGATCTGGAGACAGGAACCATAGAGGAGTGGACTTTTTCCTGCTCATGCTTAGCTACTATATATAATTTATACACACACACACAAAGATTAGGATTCCTACGTACACTTGCCTGCTTCTTCATGAAGCCATACTAAGTATAATAAAATAAAGCTTAATACCAGATTCACAGGATAAAGAGGACATGAAATATGACAGTACAAAGAAAAAAAAATATATAGTTATTTATTTCAGGCCTATTTGCCTAGGAGTGGTGCCACTTAACAGTGGACTAGACCCTCCCATATCAGTCACCAATCAGGAAACTCTATTTCTGGCTCAGTGGTTGAGAGCACTGGGTACTCCTCTAGAGGACCTGGGATTAATTCCTGGCACCTGCACGACAGCTCACATCTGTTTGTAACTACAGTTTCTGGGGATCCATGGCACTAAGCCTGCATGTGGTGCACATACCTGTGCCCTTGTACCACCTACCCATACACATAAATAAAATAAATCTTAAAGAAAATTTCTTTCAGTTATAGGCATAGGACAATCTAATTGAAGAATTATTCAGTTGAAGTTTCTGATTTCCCAGGTGACTTCAGGGTTGTGTCAAGTTGTCAATAAAATTTAACCAGCACAAACTATACATATAACTTAAGCTCTTAGAATCACAAAAATAATTATTTTTTTCTACTTATATAATTATATACAAAATATTTCAAGAAAATCTCAAACCTCTTAAACTATTTTAAACTATAAAGAAGGAATTTTGTGATATTTAGCCTTATGTTTTATTTTTTTTCAAAAGACAGATTATACTGCTCTCTCTCTGTGTATTATAGAAGTATGTATGTTTTATATATATATATATACATGTTTATGTACATATGTGTATTTATTTATATATGTATGTACATGTACATATATACACACACACACACACACTATACACATATATATGCCTTCATGGAGGATATACATATAATCTAAAATGCAAATTTTCAATTATACAAAGCTCCATCCAGTGTTCTAAACTTATTTGGGACTTGTTTGAAGTAAGCCAGGATGTTATCAATTTTGATTTTGTTTTCTAGATTTACAATTTGTCCCAGAATATTCAGGAAGATGATCTTCAGCAGCTTCAGGTAATAAGAAATGGTAATGGGAATAGTGGGTAAATGGTAAAATATCATGTGTTTTCTATCCTATATGGAATCTGGACATGAAGCGGGTGTGTCTGAGTACAGGAAGGAGACCGGAGAGGAGGAGGGATAGGATGAAAAGGCTGTGGCTGGGTGGGTGCTGGGAAGAGCACCTTGGCCATTGAAGTACCTGCTGTGCAAGCATGAAGACCTGAGTTTGAATCTCTAGCACTCACGTGAAATGAACAACCAGGTGAAGTAGTGCATGCCTTTTATCACAGCACTCAAGAGGTAGAGGCAGGTGAATTTGTAAGTTTGAAGCCAGGCTGGGCTACATAGTGAGTTTCAGCATGGTGGTCTGCTAATCCCAGTGTTGGAGAGGTAGAAATAGGTTATCTGGAGCTTAATGGCCAGTAGTCTAGGAAACTGGTTAGCTTAGGGTCAGTGAGATACTGTCTCATAAACTAAGGTTGAAAGGTATAGAAGAAATCTGACAGTAACCTCCGATCTCACATACACGTGTATATATACACTAACATGTACATTTACATGTACATACAACATACACATTACACAAACATCAGCAACACAGTACAGACATAAACATAAAAATAAAAGAAAAGCGAACAGCTGTAGGTATGTATCCTTCATAATTTTATTTGTTTTTTTTGTTGTTTGTTTGTTTGTTTTTGAGACAGGGTCTCTGTGAGTACTGGGCCAGCCAAGGCTTTTGGGGATTGAATTTGGGTTGGGTTCTTAGGCTTACATTCCTAAAAGCCTTTACCTACTGAATGATTTCCTTGGCCTCAAGGCTAGATTTTTATTGTTGTTAAGACTATATATACATACTACTCTTGGATTTATTTCTCTGGTAGAGGGTAGAGACCTAGGGGGAGACTTCCAAACATTTCTTTAGTTGGTAGTCTTCCTCACCCCTCTTGGGAGGAACTCCGCTTTTCATTTCTCAGTTGTTTAAGGATTCTATTGAGAGAATATTTTACTTCTTGTGCCTGTTTTTTCTCATTTTGTTAACAGGGCAGAAAAAGTCAGAACTGGACACTTGCTGTCTGTTTATTTTCTTCTGTGGTGTTTGTGACAAGTTCTTTATACTACCATATTATTTCATGTCCTCCTTGCCCTGTGAATTTGATATTAAACTCTATTATACTTAGTGTGGCTTCATGGAGAAGCAGGCAAGTGTATGTGGGAAACCTAATCTTAGTGAATTCATTCAGTCATTTGAATTGGATAGCTACTTAGGATGGTGCCAGGACTTTTGCTGTTGGAGATAACAGGATGCACCAAATGGGAATGTCCCTGCATACTGGTCTGACTGCTCCTAGTGACTCAAAAATGCTCATGGTGATTAAAGGTTACTACGCCCAGCCAAATGAATATTTAAAATTTTTTTTTTAGATTTATTTTATGCACATGAATATTTCACCTGAATGTATAAATGTGCCTGGGGTTGGATCCCTTGGAACTGGAATTTGTGAACCTCTATGTGGGTGCTAGGAATTGAACCCTGGTCCTTTGGAAGAACAAATGTTCTTAACTTCTGAACCATTTCACTAGCTCACAAATATTTTGCAAAAGAATACCTTAAAATTATTCTAAATAGCCGGGCGGTGGTGGCGCACGCCTTTAATCCCAGCACTTGGGAGGCAGAGGCAGGCGGATTTCTGAGTTCGAGGCCAGCCTGGTCTACCAAGTGAGTTCCAGGACAGCCAGAACTACACAGAGAAACCCTGTCTTGAAAAACAAAACAAAAAAAAATTATTCTAAATAAAGTTGTTCTACAAGCCATTAACTTTTCTTTTTTAAAGCTCTTCACAGAATATGGCCGTCTGGCAATGGATGAAATTTTCCAAAAACCTTTCCAGGTAAAGCACTGTGAATGTCATTCATATTTTTGTTTAGTTTATAGTTCAGAAGTTACAGCTCACAACCTAGATCTACTTGTTTTTATTCTAACCTATAAGCTACAGGTGTGTTTTTTTTTTTTTTTTTGAGACAGTCTTGCTATATTACTCAGGCTGGTCCCCTTCAGCATGCCCTTGACCCCTTTGAAACGATTAGCAGAAAATATTACAGTAATCTTGAATATGCACTTGTACAGTGCTGTAATTCTGTTCTGCTCTGTCACAATAGACACTGATGTTTTTGATTCGAGATTGGAGTTTCCCTTATGAATATAACTATGGGCTGCAAGGAGGAATGGCATTTTTGGATAAGCGTTTACAGGTAAGTAGGAAATCTGAATAGTTTTCTAAAGGTAATAACTTTTCCATTTGCTTTTGAATATTGTCTTTAAAGCATATCATTGAAAATGATAGTTAAATTTTTGTAAATATTAGTATAAACCAATATAGTTTTTTGTTTAAAAAATTTAAAATTTCATATATTTATTTGTGTGTGTGATAGAAAAAGAGGGGAAAGTACTTCAGTACTCATGTGAAAGTCAGATGACACCTTGTAGAAGTTAGTTCTTTCTGTTCACCATGTGGATCTCTGGGATTACACTCAGGTTGACATACTTGATGGCAAATACCTTTGCCTGCTTGGAGGAAGATGGCTATATTTCTGGTCCTAGTATAAGTTTTTTCATGGTAAAATTGAAGAACCAGGGTATATAATATATAGGCATATGGAGAAGACTTCTGAGCAAAAGGCCTTTGTAATTATACTTTCTAGTTATTTTGAATCAGATTCTATGTGTGCCTTTAGAATATCATGTTTAGAATTGTACTTCTGTTCTTACTCAATATTATTTACTTTGGCGTATATTTAAACAAGCCTAGCCTGTTCCCTAAAACCAAAGCACAGGAGACCTTTGTCAGTCATTGTTAGCTTAGTGGATTCTCCTTCTGGCCAACAGGCTTTCTGTTCTTCTTACGTGTTGCATAACACCTTTGAAAACCAAGTCTTCTGTCTCTACTCTCTGTTAGCTATGGGAGCCTTGTACACTTTCTACTTCTTGGGGCTCTGGCTCTTTCCATTGGTCGCTCTGATCTGTCATTCGTTAAGTCTTCTTTCCTTTGTCTTTATGCTAATGGATGCTAGTGAAGAATACCAAATTGTTTTTGGCTTGTAAACTTGATTTTCCTTGGCAGGTGAAGGAACATCAACATGAAGAAATTCAGAACGTTCGAAATCATATTCACTCATGTTTCTCCGATGTCACCTGTTTTCTCTTACCACATCCAGGGCTCCAGGTGGCCACAAGCCCTGAGTTTGATGGAAAATTGAAAGGTGTGTTACAGTCATTACTATTGTACATGTGATTTGATCTTTGGAATTCTATAATGAGCAGTGAGAATCAGTTATGAATCGAATGGAGGCTTATGAGAATGAATGTGGTCTCAGGCAGAATAGTATTAGTATAGTTCAGATTTCCCTCCTGACTTTACTATACCCATAAGAAGTATTTTGTCTGTTTCATTAACTAAAAATGAAGTAATGTTCTTCAGGGCTGTTAGCATTCTGTCTAAGCTCCACCCCACAGTTACCTGGCAGTAGCCAGGTAGGCCTGACCCACTATAAAAGGGACTGCTTGCCCCTTTCTCGCTTTTTTGCCCTCTTGTTTCTCTCTTGCTCTCTTTCCTTCTTGCTCCCACTCTGTTCTCTCTCCCCTTCCCCCAACCTCTTTCCACATGCTCATGGCCAGCCTCTACTCCTCTACTTTTCTACTCTCTCTCTGCCTTTCTCTGCCTCTACTCCCTTCTTGACTCCCCTCCCCATGCCCTGAATAAACTCTATTTTATGCTATACCATCCTGTATAGATGAGGCTGGTCCCTCAGGGGGAAGGGATGCCTCAGCATGGGTCCACTGAGACACCCTCTTCCCTCATACCTCACCACACGCCATAGAAAATATCCCCTTCTCTATCTTTTTGTAAAAACAACAAGGGCTCTAAGAAATGTAGTTTCTGCTTTATAAGAGATCAAAGTGCTAAATGAAGGAAGACAAACCTAAAACATCCATTATTTTTCAAGTCCAAATATCTTCCTCAGGAAAAGTACCATGATACACATCCAAGTACTGTTTCAACTCCTTTGTGCTTTTACCAAAATCTGATGCTGGATCATAGGCTAATGTCAGGCGGTGCTGGGTCATTGGTAGGTTAGAGAATCAGAGTTGGGATGCTTGGGTACCATTATCTTATTTTTGTTCCTTATTCCTGGAGGCTCTGAGTCACCTAATGGCTGGCCCACAGTTTATACTTGTTAAGCAGTTTGTTTATACTGATCTGAGTCTCTTTATTTTCTCTAAAATACTGATAATAGTAGCTGTCAGCTTTGCAGTCCAGTTGGGTTCCTAGTGTTGTGCAAAACACTTTAATACTAAGCTCACAGTAATTCCATGAAGTTACATCATTTCATTTATCTCTATATCAGGAAGCTGGCAAAAATGAGGAAAGTTAATCAACTCACTCAAAGTTCTCAGCTAAAAGCAGTGTGGCAGAGGTGCACATCCGGGTACTGGTACCTTAAAATCCACACCGTGGAAATAGAAGTTCATTGTTGTTTGGAGGAAGTCTTTAGAGAGTATGTACATGTTGAGTTACCAGAGCAACTTGCCTTTTAAAAATAGCCTCGTAAATATGAAATATATAATTTTCATTCTATTTGATTTAGTTGATCTAAGAAGAATAAATATATTTGTCTAAGTCAATATGTACAGACATGAGATTAGAGAAAAAACTCAGTAAGAGTGCTCTTGGTTCTGTTCTTAGCACCCACATTAAATGGTTCACAACTATTTGTAACTGTAGTTTCAGAGAATATGATACCCTCTTCTGGCCTTCCTGGGTACTGGCATGAACATAATGCACTTGTGTACATGCTGCCACACACAAACTAAAATGGAAACTTTGCATTTTTTAAGGTTTATTCCATGTGTATGAGTGTCTTGCTTGCTTGTATGAATATATAGCACGTATGTGTCTTGTGGCTGAAGAGCTCAGAAAAGTGTGCTGGATCCCCTGGAATTAGAGTTATCTGTTGTTGTGAGCCTCATGTAGATGCTGAGAACTGAACCTGGGTCCTCTGCAAGGGCAACAAGTATGCCTAACTGTTGAGCCATTTTCCCTCTTTTTTTCTTCAAAGATTTATTTTTTTATTTAATGTGTATGGTGTTTTGTCAGCTTGTATGTCTGTGTACCATATGTGTGCAGAGGCCAGAAAGAGGGTGTTTGATCTTCTGGAATTGGAGTTAGAGGTATTTTTGAGCCATCATGTAGGTGCTGGAAATCAAACTGGAATTTTCTGGAAGAGCATTGCTCTTAATTGCTGAGCTACTTACTCTACTTCCCCACCCCCATTAAGAAATCTTTTAAAAAGATTTACAGACCAGTTGGTCTAAGTGCTACGAAACACTGAATTTGAAAGATATAATCGTTACCGTCTGTTTGACACTTGAGTGATGTGTTAAGTGATTGGCAGCTTTCTTAAAGGGGAGGATACTATGAGATCTCGTTGCTCAGTGATTGAGAGATTCAAGAGCAACGCCTGGGTTTGGTAGAAATATCTGCTTAGGTGAACAGTGGAGCTAGAACCTGTTACCTTAAAAATTGGGAGAGAATTTTTCAGAGTTAAGTAGGGAGAGAAAGTTAAGTGCATTCGTGTGTTTGTATGTGTGTGTGTGTGTGCATGTGCGCGCGCGCGCGCGCGCGTGAGCGAGAGAGAGAGAGAGAGAGAGAGAGAGAGAGAGAGAGAGA